ACCATAAAAAAAAGAAGATTTCAAGATTTATCTTGTAGTATAATGCTGTCAGTGATAGGATAATATCCATACACCTACATGCAAGACCAATTAATACAACTATTATTCAAATTTATGCACCAATCATTAAGGCCAAAGATGAGGACATTGAAGATTTTTACCAATTTATGCAGTCTGAAATTGATCAAACAAAATTGAAAAAAAAAATGCAATCAAGATGCATTGATAATGACTGGTAATTGGAAGCAAAAGCTGAAAACAAAGAAACACCAAGAGCTGAAAGATATGACTTCAGTGATACAAATGATCCCTGAAAGCATATGAGAGCATTTTGTAAGACAAATGAGTTATTCATTACAAAACCTTTTTTGAATTACATTAACTGGGTTTGAATTACATGTACTGGGTGGAATACACAGGACTCAAACTGACTATATCTCACGCTTTAGAATATTCAACTATTTGAAATGAATGGGCAGCATTTACCCAAGGACAAAGTTCTGAAAAGTAGGAAAGATGGAGGAATAGAAACAGAAGGCACAGGGAAGAAGTAGGATAAGGTATGTTATATTGTGGGAGTTGCAGTCAACACCATGAAATAAACTGAGTATGAATTGTTGAATGGAAAACTGATTTGATCTGCAAACTTTCATCCAATTAACAATGAAAAGCTTTTAAAAGAAAAAAACATTGACTACATCTGTGGAAAGAGACAATGGAGAAGTTCAATCTTGAAGGTGACCTTAGAACAGGGTCATGGACAGATTGTGGAAAAGACCATCTCTTGGTCATATCCAAGTTCAAGTTGAAACTGAAAGAAATTGAAACCTGTCCATGATGACCAAAATACACCCTTAAATATATTCCACTTGAGTATGTTTAGAGACCATCTCATAAATAGATCTGATGAAATGAATACTAATGACTAAAGACCAGACGCGCTGTAAGATGACATCAAGGGCATCATATATGAAAAAGGCAAAATGTCATTAAAAAGACAGGAAAGAAAGAAAAGACCAAAATAGATTTTAGAAGAAACTCTGAAATGTGACCTTGAACGTATAATAGCGCAAGAAAATGGAAGACGCAATGAAGTAAAAGAACTGAACAGAAGACTTCAAAGGGCAGCTGGAGAAGACAAAATACTATAATGAGATGTTCAGAGACCTGGTGTTAAAAACCAGAAAGGAAAAACATGCTTGACATTTCTTTAGTTGAAGAACTGAGGAAATCAAGCCTCAACTTGCAATATTAAGGATTTTATTGAATGAAGCAAGAAAACTCAGAAGAAAATCAAAGAGTCACTGTTCAAAAAATAATTGGTTAACATTTAGTCATTTTAGGAGGTAGCATATGACCAAAAACCAATGCTATTGAAAGAAAAAATACAAGCTGCACAGAATATGTTGGCGAAAAATAAAGATCTGGGAATTGATGGAATACAAATTCTTTTCATTTCTATATATCTGAAAGTGACCTAATGTTGTCGCCATCATATATGAGTCTTGGTTGGCATTTTTTTTCTTTTGGAGTTTATATTTATATACATAAAATCATCTCACCATCTTCTTGCCTACATGGTTTCTGTTGAGGAATTAGAGCTGTCTTAGTTCTCCTTTGTAAGTAACTTCATTTTTTCCTGTCAGAATTCTTTCTTTGATTTTGAAAAATTTGATTACGTCTTTTCCTTTTGGGACATATCCTGTTTGAAGTTCATTCAACTTCCTGAATGGCTATCTACTCATCTTATCATGATGTTAGGGAAGCTTTCTTTCCAGAACTCTTAGATACTATTCTCTATGCTTATGTGTGAGTTTGTTTCTTTTTGTTTTGGAATTCCGATCACATTTAAGTTATTCCTCTTAATAGTGTGTGTTGTCAAAAGAAATGGTTCACACAGTTGTAGAGACTGCCAAGTCCCACATTTGTAGTTCAGAGATCAGACTGTAGGGATCTTCTCACCTACACAATTTCAGGAGGTGAGGAACCCAAATTGGCAGGTCAATTTGTTGATGCATGAGACTGCGGGAGCTGGTGAATCAGGTCAGGTATGGGCCAAAATTACTATGAACTGGAGGTCAGATATACTGAAGCAAATGCAAGATCCAGGACAAGAGAGCAAGTTTTTCCAAAGCAATCTTACAAATTAGAGTCAGAACATACCCCCCAAGGGAAACAAAGAGTTAAGTCACACCCTCTACTAAGGTTGGGGCATTAATTTCACTGTAATCTTTATTCTTTAGCCTTCCCGCCCTCCCCAGCTCCTTGTAATCTTTTCTCCTTCGCCACTCATTTCACAATGGGTCCATAATCACAGGCATGCCATTATGTTCTTAAGTGTCCTAGAGTTGGTTTTGATTCATAGCGACCCTGTGTAGGGTTTCCGAATTTTGGCTGATGAGTTTGAACCACCAAACTCATGGTTCAAACCGACCTTAAGGTCGAGTGCTTATCCTACAGTGCCACACCAGGACACAAAGGCTAGGATTCATAATATATCACAAAATGGAGAAATTTGGCTAGAAGGGTCAGAAATTTGGCGAGAAGCAATTAGCCGACCTTCAAAGTGCCCCCCCATAAATATTAGGCATTCTTCAGATTTTTTTTTTCTGATTGTTTCTCTTGCAGATGAATATTAATATGTTTTTCTTTAAGCTCAGTTATTCAACTTTCCATTGATTCAATTCTACTTCCTTGCCCTTTCAGTACATTATCTCTTTCTGAAGCCTTAATGTTAATATTCTAGCTTTCTAATTGATATTTTTATATAGTTCCCTTTTTTTTAAATTTATTTTATCAGTTTTCTTACTGAATTCTTCTATAGATTTGTCTGTTTTACTTGATTTCATTTGCAGTTTCTCAATCATTGTCTCAATTCACTGAAGGTGTCAAAGTAGCTTTCTTCTGAATTCCTTATCAAGTAGTTCTGATACCATTTCTGATATTATATTTTCTGACTTTGTATTTTGGCCACTTGTTTGAGGCACTCTGTTTTGTTTCTTTACATAAGATTAAATTGTCTGTTTTCTTCAAGACTTTGTGTTGTTGTATGTCTATAAAATTGATAATTGCATATTGGTGTGTTTTCAGGCATTCATCACCTTTCTCCTAGTGCATGTGGTAGAGACTGGAAGTGTGAACACCATTTTCTGTTCACTCTTTGTATAATGCAGTTTAGGGAGAGTTCATACTCCTCCTAGATGCAGTGATGCTATGCTTGGCAAGGAGCAGAAGCTGTATTGGAGGGATGCCATTGGCTGCTGGGATAGTGAGGGTGGAGACTGGTCATACTTTCAGCTACCAATAAGGAACAGGAACAAAGAACAGGAACAAAGAACGCCCCATCCCCACCCCCACCCCAACACACACTCCCACTGCCAACCTTTAGCTGCATCCTATGCCTGCAAGTCACTGTTACCAATAGCCACTGACAAAAGTTCAAGATGTTCCGATTCCTCTTCCAATGAACATTCAATCCACCTATTTGTCCGATCTTCTGAAGCTCAGAGTTTCAGGACCACCATCTGTGTCTGTTTCACTTGGTTTCCCATGTCTTTGTTGCAGAGGGTCTGCTTAGTGTGTCTGCCTCCTCTGACACCTTGCCTGGGAAACCATCAAAATTTCATTTTACTTGAATCTATAATCAACGTCTACAGAAGCAGCAGTCAAGAAATTATACCATGTATTGCATTGAGCAAATCTGCTACAAAAGACCTGTTTAAAGTGCTTGAAAATTTTTTTTTTTTTTTTTAAAAGAGCAGATGTCACTTTGAGAACTAAGTTGTGCCTGCCTCAAGCCATGTTATTTTCAAATGTATCATATGCAAGTGAAGGCTGGACAATGAATAATGAGAACCAAAGAATAATGGATGCAATTGAATTTGGTGTTGGTGAAGAATATTCAATATACCATGGACTTTCAGAAGAACAAATAAATCTGCATTGGAAAAAGTATAGCCAGAATGCTGCTTAAAAAAAGGATCACATTCTCTGGACATGTTATCTGGAGGGACCAGTCCTTGGAGAAGGACATCATACATCTAACTTAGAAGGTCAGTATAAAAGAATAAGACCCTCTATGATCTGGCTTGACACAGTGGCTTGGCACATTGGCTGTAACAGTGTGCTCAAATATAGTAGCAATTGCGAGAATGTTGTAAGGGCCTAGCACTGTTTAGTTCCCGTGTTCAAGGGGTGGCTAAGTTGGAATTGACTTCAAGACACTTACCAACAACAGTACTGTGACTGAGGGAAGAATGACACTCAAAGTGAATAAATAATGTTTATTGAATATCTCAAACTTTCCTGGTTCCAGAACAAGTTAATCCTCGGGCAAAAGAAAGGAGACAAGATCTGCTTCCTAAGGAGGGTGTGGTGACACCCTGGTGTTCCAGGTGTTTCTATTGACAACTAGAAAGGTATCAACCCTGAAATGCAGGTACTGCCCAACCAAGTCTAGAAGGCGTCAGAGGATCTAAGAAGTTTAGAGGTACTTGACAATGTCATGCTTCTGTAAGTGAGACAGAAACTGAAAAGACAGGTGTGTGAGCTCTGGTCCAACTCTGGTTGACTATAGAGTTAATCTGAGAAGCTTCTCTTGTCACCGTTTGGCGAGCTAGGTTCGGCCTGCTCTGCCTAAGAGGGGGAAGTGGAGCGTCCAGGCGCGGGAGTCTTGCGCAGTGACCCAAATCTTGACAGCACACGGTGGGAGTAGCTGTCTACAGGCGCGCGGAGTCAGAAGTGCGGACTACAAGTCCCGGCATGCCTCTGGCTGGTGGGGCGGTGCCGAAGCCCGCTGGGAGGGTATCCAGGCCCAGGCGTGCGCAGTGGTTCTCGGGAGCGGCGGGGCGGGTTTTTGCGAGCTGTCAGCGGTGTCCCAGGGTGTCCGGGCAGTGGTGGCCGCGACCATTGGCGGAGAAGCGGGAGGGGAGGGGCCGCCGCGAGCCGCTAAGGGCGAGGCGGATCGGACTAAGGGTAGGCGACTGGCCGGAGAGGCACGGCCCCAGCTGCAGCATTCCGGCCTGGACATGGCAGCGGCGCCCCTGAAAGTGTGCATCGTGGGCTCGGGAAACTGGTGAGCATTGGCGCGGAGTCTGGGGCTACGGCTCCAGGAAGCCCCTGTGCAGGGCTGGCAACCCGCCGAAGCGTGGGCACTGGACACTGCGCGTAGGGAAGTGGGCGGGCGGCCCGACTGGACCTCGCGCGCCAGGGGAGGCCGTGCAGAGGCGCTCGCGTGGGGAGAAGCAGCGCGGAGAGGGCATGGCGTGCCCGGGGCACCTGTCTACGCTGCCGCTGCCGCTGCAACGGGGCGGGCGCACCCAGGCCACCTGCGCGCCACGCCCGGGTGTTTTGCGCAACACGATGAATTGCCATGGTGGAGGAATTGAAGGAATCTCCAGCTTTCTTGTTAAGTCCTTGTGTGGCATTGTAGCATAAGCACTGGACTGCAAACTACAGGGTTGGCGGTTCAAACCCACCAGCCACTCCTTGGAAATCCTATACAAGGTCACTATGAGTTGGAATCGACTCGAGGATACTTAACAACAGCAATCAGCTTTCTTACTGTAGTTTTAAGAGTTGGGGAAACCAAGGCGCAGAGACAGCTAAAGAGCACTTATTTGGGTCCCTGACAGGGCAGCCGCTGCCCCTTGAAGATAATAAGTCCATTATTTTAAGAACGTTGTATCGGGAAGAAAATTCATTTCTGACAGACTCTACTTCTAGAGAGTCCAGGAACATTGAGAATTCTCCTCTTGGGAGACATTGACAAAGCTCTTCTCTACTGTTTTTTTGGTTTTGGTTTTTACAATAGCGTTTATAAAGCATTTTGTGCCAGATGTTTCTGTAAGCACATTAAAAATGTCAGCTCGATTAGTTTCTTATATGAAACATACACGATGTGATTCTGTGGTATGGAGTGAGTGTAGAAGAGAAGGGAGAAAAGGAAGGATGTAGCATGTTTGTTTTTGTTTTACTTTTTCATTTCTGCACAGTTTTTCCTACATCCAAGGTATTAAGACTAATTAAGAGTCACTGTAACAGTTCACTACTTCTGTTTACTCTTAGTTTCTATGGCCTGACATTCATCACAGCTCAGACTTCTAGGAGTCCTGCAGCAGTTGATACTAGCTGCTTGGTCATAACCTTTAAGACTTGGCTCAGAAAGTACTTCCTGGAGGAGACTTTACCTGATTCTCCACTTTTCTATCTCAACATGTGGTTGCCTCTCCCTGTTCCCCTGTTGCTGACCTCTATTATCTGCTTCTTCAAGGAAATGATTTGAGTATCTCTCGCCACTCCTCCCCAACCAGCTTTTGAAAACAGCATCTACCTTAGTGCCTGGCACATACTAAATAAACACTACATTAATGTTGGAAAACGGCTTTTCTTTTTAAATGCAGTTTTATTTGACTAGGCAATGCATCCACATCATGCAAACCCCAAACCAACAAACCAAACCTGTTGCTGCCTTGTTGATTCTGACTCATGGTTACCCCATTTGTTACGGTAGAATGGCTGCATCGAGGTTTCTTGGTGGTAATCTTTAGGGAAGCATATTGCCAGGCTTTTCTTCTGTGGTGCCACTGGGTAGATTCAACTTGCCAGCCCTTTAGGTGAGTAGTCTAAGTAATCTAAAGGAACAATCACAATTCGTTTCTTCTCTCCTTTATGCAATTCTCCTGAATTGCACATGTTTACATAGATGAGGGGGTTTCAAAAAGTTTGTGGGAAAATTCCATGATCTTTGAATCCAATTTTTTGAAGCTCCCTTGTATTCGTTTTCCCCTACACTCTACTTAACTAGAATACCATACACTGTTCTTCTGTAAGGTCTTTCAACCGACAACAAAATGATCGCCACCACACTTAATGGCGTTGATACCTGTACACTGCAGAACGTCAATTAGACTCATCTTGGCTTTGCCAGATTTGATCCCAAGGTCACTTGGTTGAGATGTCAGTTACCCTGTTGGCCATGTGACTGGAAAAAGCATCCATTTAGTTTGTACTCTTTTAACATTAGTTTCCCGTTTTGTAACATTCCACAGAAGATAGCCCCATCTCCTACCTGGCAAGGTGTGACACAGCCCTGCCTAGCTGAATATGGGCCTGGAGGGAGAGTAGGGAAGGGAGGCACCCGCACCTTCACTGGGACCTGGCTGCCTGCCCATGGCTTTACTCTGATGTACTTGCCTGTTGTCTTGGCCCACTGGAGCCCAAGCAAGTGAGTAGAACTTGACTAAGAACACTGCAACAGAGCAATTGAGAAACACACTGACAGTTTGGGCTGGCTGCCCGGCTCCATTAATTATGGGCCTGGAATAGCTGTTGGCATCTCTGCCACTGCCCCTTGTGGGCCAGTCCTAGAGAGAGGGTCACAACCTCCCCAAAGAGATTTAGGAATTTAGGAACTGAAAGTCGCATGGAGAAAAGCCAGGGGTGGTGGGTTTTTGGGTGGGGGGAGGAGGGCATAAGGGTGTTCACTTCTGGTTGGTAGACTTTTGAGTGTTCTGTGTAGCTGTTGTGCTTGGTGCTTGAAGCAGAGGGGATAGGAGATATGGCACAGGTGAACACAATCACTGCCTTTAAGGGACTTGCCTTTAGGTCTGAGATGGATAAAAACCTGGAAGATAAATTCTTAAATAGCAAGTTGAATGGATTAATTGCTACAGATTATTGTTGTTAAGTCTCTTCTAGTGGATTCTGACTCCTAGCAATCCTGTATAGGGTTTCCAAGGAGTGACTGGTGGGTTTAAACTGCCGACCTTGCAGTTAGCAGTCCAGTGCTTATCCTACACTGACACACCAAGACTCTGTTATAAGAGTAAACATTACATTTTAGGTTGTTAGGTACCTTCAAGTTGGTCCTAGTTCTAATGTATAGTTGCCCTATGTCCAAAAAACAGAACAATTCACTGCCCAGTCCTGCGCCGTCCTTTAAATTACTGCTTTAGGAGCCCAGTTTTGCAGCCACTGTGGCAATTCATCTTGTTGAGGGTCTTCTTTTTTGCTGACCCTCTTCTTTACCAAACTTGATGTCTTTATCCAGGGACTGGTCCCTCTGATAACATGTGCACAGTATGTGAGACAAAGTCTCACCATCCTCCTTTCTAGGGACTAGATAATGTAAATATTGAACAATGCAAGAAGCGTCCAAAAAAAAAGAAGGAATACACATAGTCACTGTACCAACTGTACCAGACACTGTTGGTCGGCCTTCAATAATTTCAGGAAGTAGCATATGATCAAGAAATGATGGCATTGAAGGAAGAAGTCCAACCTGCACTGAATAGACTGGTATAAGACAAGGCTCCAGGAATTAATGGAAAACAAATTGAAACGTTTCAACAAAGAGGTGCAACACTGGAAGCTCTCCCTAGTCTATGCCAAGTAATTTAGAAGATGCTACCTTGAAAACTAGATGAAGAGAGCCTTATTTGTGCCCAGTCTAAAGAAGGGCAACCCAACAGAATACAGAAATCATTGAACAATATCATGCAGGTAAAATGGTTGCAGCAGTACATTGTCAAGCCGGATTCAGAAAAGGACATGGAACTAGGGATTTCATTGCTGACATCAGATGGATCTTGACTGAAAGCAGAGAATCCCAGAAAGATGTTCATGTGTGTTTTATTGAGTATGCAGTGGCATTTGCCTTTGTGTATCATAACAAATTATGGATAACATTGGGGAGAATGGGTATTCCATTCTTAGTTGTGCTTACATGGAAGCTGTGCATAGACCAACAGGCAGTCATTCTGACACAAGAGGATACTACGAGGTGTGAAGTCAGAAAAGGTGTGCATCCGGATTGTATCTTCTCACAATAGTTATTTGTTGTGTATGCTGAACAAATAATCCAAAAAAACTGGACATTTTAAATGAACTAAATAAAATGGTTTGTATCAATCTATATTAAAGTAGGGAGCCCTGGTGTAGTGTTATGGGTTAATGCACTGGACTGCAAAGTCATTTTGAACAACACGGTTGATGGTTCAAGCTCACTAGTCACTCCTCGGAAACCCTATACAGGGTGGCTATGGGTTGGAACTGACTCAATAGCATTTAATAAGAACAACAACATATAAAAGTGGAGATCCAAAAACTACTTGCATCAGAATTGCCGCTGAAGCTAGATTTATTGTATCATATTTCTTGAGGGTGGGGTAGATTTTTCCTTAAGGAATCTTAACTTTATGGTAATTTAAAAACAGGTCACCAAAAGTTGGCCCTTCCTGACCCAGCCTCATCTGACTCTTACCTCATCATTGTAAAAGTTGTTTAAGCAATGTTTACACTTCTGACTTTGAAATACTTCAGGGTGATTATATAAATGTTGTCATGGACAAACTTATAGGTTAGAGGTGACCATGTCCTCACACTGAGAGCCTCTGCCAGCTAAACTGTTCTTAATATTGGTACAGTTACCAGAATACTGAATCCACATGACTTGCCAGGGAACTTTAGCAGGAAGGCCTTGGGAGGGAAAGTAAGCAGGTTGTATAATGTGACCTTGTTTGTCCTTTGGCGTGCCTTCTTTCCTCTCAACATGGAGATAGAGAGGAGGCTGTAGGCGGGCTTGAGTGCGCTGGCTTCCAGCTGAGTCCTGCTGTAGATGCCCAGGGGCTCCCTAACCTGCATGACTTCATTGCCCTGTGACTAGGACAAACAACCAAAGTCTTAGGTTCCTCCAAAGGAAAAACAATTCCTTTGTCAGCGCCTTGGAGAAATCACCAGACACAATGCAAAACACAGTTCTAGAACTAAAACCTCAGGGCTGTGTTTATAGCCAAACTTCCATGATATGTCCAGAAACACATCCCAAACCTCCTTTGCAGACTGAGTAATGTAGTGGTTATATAAGGAGGTCTCAGGAATCTGACTCCCTGCTTCTATCCTGGCTCTCCTGCCTGGCAGCTTAGAGGTTTGGGACAAACTGCTTCTCTCTAAGCATCATTACGTATAGAATTGGTACTTCCTGTCTAGGGTTCTGACTATAATTGAATGAGTTGTTCCAAGCAGAGTGCATGGTGACTCCTACTGCTAAAATCCCCTCCGATATCCCGTCGCTAT